AATAGCCCATGTTGTACAATATAACTATAAAAGGTAGGTAAAAGTTGTCCCCTGACATTAAGTCCAGTCGTGTCTGACTCTGGGGGTTGGTGCTCATCTCCATTTCTAAGCCAAAGAGCTGGCGTTGTCTGTAGACACCTCCAAGGTCATATGGCTGACATGACTGCATAGAGCGCCTTTACCTTCCCAAAGGAGCAGTTCCTACTGATCTACTCACATTTGCATGTTTTCGAACTGCTAGGCTGGCAGAAGCTGGGGCTGATAGTGGAAGCTCACGCCATTCCCCGGATTTGAACCTGCCCATATCATACCCACATCTCAGTCTTGTTCCAATCATTCATGCTACCAATGCAACAATGTATGTGTATACTTCTACTAGTAAATCTGAGAAGGTTGCACCAACATGCATTTCATAACTCACACTGTGTCAGTGAAGCAATTATTTTACCAACTGCTGTAGTCAATGAGTTAGGACAGTGCTGTTTGTAAACTTTGTCCATCTTTAATGTGGTGCCTCAGAGACAGGAACTGCAATTTAAATAAATTATTTCAATTGTATGTATTTTTTTTTAAAACTCCCTTAGGCCAGCAATTTGCTCTGTAAAAGCAAATTAAATATATTTTGCTTTTTTCTAGTGTAAACTCAGCTGGAGAATTCAGACTTACTGGACAATTCACAATAACATTAATTTTAATTAGCTCCTAAGTTTTAACCATTCAAATCAGCAATTAAAGCATAATTTCTTTGGTTAAGGTAAACAGAGAAGACAGTCTGTTACCTCCTTTAGTTGGCTTGTTTTCTGCTCCTTCTGTAAACCACAGATTTCTTTCTGTAATTTCAGATTGTGCTCTTGTAGCTGTCCAATTTTTTCAATAAGTTGGCAGATGTGCTCTAGGTAACCCAAGCCTGAGCCACGTGCTTTGGCATTTTCTTGGTTGACCTACAATGAAAATAAAATAAATGACAATTGGATATTTTCAGTGACAAAATAAAATATTGCTTCTGAAAAAGAATTGTAGCATATATTATAAATCTCTATACTGGCCATTTAAAGGGACACTCCTCAAGAAATCTGCTCAAAACAAGATAAAACAACAGTTGCTCCATTTAAGCAAACAAGTACTGCTCCAGTTAGTACAGTCAAGTTCATGGAAAAGAACTTGTAAAATCGATTCGGTTTTCACGAGGCAATTTCAATAACATAAAGTGGCCCCTGGATGCAAAAAAAAAAAAATCTGGAAGAGAGAGCTAGATAAAATTGCCATCAACCCCACACACTCAGCCTGAAACTGCTTCTTCTAGAGAAAGCAGATAAACTCATACTTCACTCTGAACAATTTGGTATGCACGAAAAGTCCTTACCTTACTCAGCTTACAGCAAGCGTCCATGTACTCATCCAAGCTGTCACTTGTGGGATGCCTTCTTAAGGGATGAGCAGGTAATGTCAGTTCTTCTAAGTTGTCATTTCTGTAATCGTCATGAAAACTTTTCTTTTCTACAGACATAGTGGGAAGGAGGGAGGAACTCCCCTCTTTGCAAATTTTACCCTGCAAATGCTCTGCTTGGCTACCATCCGAAAAGGACTGCTCAGTATGCTTTGTATCCTGAAAATCAGCATCCTTGTTCAAGGAAACTGCAAAAGTCTGTATCTCTTCTGCATGGTGTTCCATTGGCTTCTTGCAGTCTGAGATGCAGAGACAGGCATTCACAGTGTCTTTGCATGCTATCATTACTGGGGAGGAAGAGGCGCTCAGAACGCCAGAGTCACAAGAAGAATCTCTTCTGTGTAGCACAAAGCGCTTTTCGGAGTTGGCTCCATCACGCAATGTGACGCTAGAACCTTCTGATTCCAAGTTGCCTGATTTTACAACCTCATCTTTTGGTGTCAAGGTATTTTGATGAGAGAGCATGGCAAAGTACTCTGTTTTTTCTGGAATATCACTTACGGTGAGTGAGTTGGACTGATGCTGTTGCACTATGCTAGATTCCAATTTCTCTGAAGGGCCTGAGCCAGCAGGAAGACATTGTCTTAGTCCTTCACCCATTTCATTGATTGTCTTCATGTTTTTCAAAATCACCTTGTCATTGGACGCTGGAGTCTTTTTGCCTAATAAAAGAATATAAATACAGATTTCAGTCATGGAGAATTCTAATTGCTGGTCCCTTTAACATATTTATCTATGAGACAGAGTTTAATGACAGAACATGATCCTTGGAACCCACTCAGTCTTCTGTAATTAATAAGTCCTTCCCATAATCTTATGTGGAGAAGGATATGAATGGTGGCTTTTAGCCAACCCATGTCCTAGAAGCCTTATTGTCAATTTGTTTTGGTATAAATATTTATTGTGATATATGGGAAAAAAGAAATATACAAACTTTGAAATTCAACAATCCAAATACAAGTATTGTTTCCTCAGTCCCACCACCACCCCATTCCCATCTGTGGACCACCACCCATGTCTTCCAACA